TTAAAATCTATTGCTACGTTGATAGTGGCAAGCTTTAAAGCACCTGTTACAGTTAAAAAGAGTATTGCAAAAGTGCATTTTGCGAATGAAGGGAATTACAATAAATTGCGCGAATAATTTTCCAATAATAGTATAAAATACTACAACGTCGTATTTTTATTATTAAAAATCTCTCCTTCGAATGATTCTTGAATCCAGTAATTACACAAGATGTCCCAAAACCAACCACCTTCGAACAATTCTCCACAGTTTGCAAATGATCGCTCGGTAATCGCAATTCTCGAAATAGTCCATATTTATGAACCAACGTAATCCACGAAGAATATAAATTGGAATTCCACTTGAAATTTAAATGACATTTAAATATAAATTCCGATTCGAACCGAAATAAAATACAGATAGAAATTCATACCGTATTCAAATTCTTAAAATTAAAGAAAACATCGATATTACTCTGCACCGATGTCGTCGATACGAGAATCGAGGAAACCAGGCTTGTAAAACCAAGCGGAATATAAGTTAGGCAGCTTTCGAAACGAGTAGTATGATTAATGGTAATGACGATTAACGAAATTTATGCATTGAAGAGGGCAGATGCGCCTCGGTGATGGTAGCAAGATTAGTTTTCGAGCCTCTGAAATGCTCTAGACATAGTTCGAAATAAGATTTTCCTCGTTAAAATCGTGGAACGGGGTTAATCCTCTCTGTTGATGAACGAGTTCTCCCGGTTGAATATTCCTTGGTTTCGACACAGCCAACCGTTTTAACGTTTTAAGTTCGTTGTGTTTTATCAATGAAGACACAGTGGTAGGTAGCTTCAGACAGGCGTGTTCCGTGCAATCATCGACGTGGAAGATTTGCTTCTTTGAGATTTACGGTGATAAGGATTTTTCCAGAGATTAGAATATGATCGCGAGATAACATCGACGTCAGCGAAGCTCATTGAAGTTGGACTTAGAAAATTGATACCTGAGGAGCGCTTCTTGCGGAGAATATACCGAAACATCTTCTATTTTAAATGAAATTTTAAATTTTGAAAAAATTTATCATTTTCTTTACAATGTAGGAACATTTTTCTTTTTTGTGTTGATTTTATTATAGAAATTTATTTAGTTTTTCTATTTCTTCTTGTCTTTCTCCACCTTTTCAAAATCTGTGCAAACCTGATCCTTGAAATGACCGCAAAATTGATCTTTATGAGCTAGATCGTTCGAAAAATTCGTAATCAAGATCTGTTTAAGTTGAGAATACCTAACTCTTATGCATTTTGCATTTTCCAATCGCACACTGCTAAATTGCAAACCGAAAAAGTTCACGAAAAAGTGTAGAAAGATGAAGATACTGATCTTACATGCACATTCGTTCAAAAAAATTTCCCAATCGTTTAATTAATTTCCAAATCACACACGATTATATATAACAAACCCAAAAAAAATTCATAAAATAGCGTAACAATAAAGATAGGGTAAAGTTGCCTAATATGAGACCCATTTCTTAAAGAAGTCATAACTGTCGACTAAGAACACTTTTATTAAAATTCGGTACATATTTTAAAAGTATGGTATGTATTCTTTTGTAAGGTACTGGAATGCACAGTAAAGAAAATTCGGTTCCTTCGTAATAAAATAAAAAGGAAAACTATGCAAATACGCAGATTTAAAAAATGTCTACTTTTTCTGTCTTTCTTCACACATTGGGCATATTAAATCTGTCTCTTTATGCAAATACACAAATTTAAAAAATCGGTTCCTAATATGAGAAAACTATTTTTTCTGTCTTTTTTCACACATATTATTCGGTATATTAAATCTGTTTCTTCAGCACCGCAGACTTCGTGGGCTCACCGGTAACGCTTTGTACGCTAAAACAAAATTGGGTACCTAATATGAGACTCTTCTTCTCATACTCGGAAACAATAACACGATAGCTATTAAGTAGCTTCGAGATTAAGTCTTCGTTATTTAACGATACGCAACTAGTAAGCCTTAAACTCCATTAAAACGATTATAATCTTACTATTTTGGAGGTATTTGTAATCGAACCACTTGGCAAACTTTCGGCAACGTATTGCACAAATATGGTCGTTGAAGACGCTTGGTCGATTTGAATCAAATTTCATATTTAATTTGATAATTAACGCGGTTAATTACGGCATTCAAGAGTCTCATATCAGGCTACTTTACCCTACTGATCAGACATGCACATTTCCAAATCACACATGATTATAAATAACAAAGCCAAAAAAGTTCAGAAAAAAGCGTAACAATAAAGGCACAAATCCTTCACACGACTCGATATATGCCACAAATTGAAGCCCACACGCAAGTTCATCAACACTTAATCAAATCACCCAAACAACGTGTGCCCACATCCTCTGAACCCACACACGAGTGCCACCGGTGCTCGTCAATTCAACAATTTCATCACGTGGTGCCGAGTTCAAAGGATTTCCGCGTCTAGACTAATTACGCAACACAATCACAGCTTCGAGGCGGTCAATGATTCGCGACGGATCATTCACGAATCTCCGTCGGTCTGCTTGCTAATGATCGCCACACTTTTTAATTGGCTCCGTTGCAACGTTTAGGTTCGCCGTTTGCGAAATCTGTTGCACTTACGTCGCTCGCCTCGGTGAAAGTGTGTACGCGTAAGTGAGGAGGCGGAGAAGGGAAGAGATCGATGGAACGCGTTCTCCACGGCACTGGCGTTCCATCGATAAGCGTAATCGACCTGCGTGGGCGGCTGACTTCTTGGCCGGTTTTCCGATCGCCGGGAATTCGAGGAGCGTAGAGTGTAACGCGCGCGCGGACCCGAGCGCGCATTCCTCGCCGGCTGAATCCGCGCAGTCGAAAGTGCGCGCGGAATTCTAAGGGGGAATGATGTGTTTCGACTGTTGGGAAGTTGTGTTTCGTTGTGTGCAGATGGGATTTTTGGAGGGTTTCTTTTTTTTATCGTGGATTTTTTTGAAGGTGGTGTTAAGTTTGCTGACTTTGGTTTTTGGTCCCTTTTTGGGCATGGTTATATGGCAGAATTTCCGTTTTCTCATGTGTGAAACGTGTGTAAGACGGGATTTTTCGAGGAGTTTCTTCTTTTCGAGAATTTTTTGGAATGAAGTCTATGTTTGCTAACTTCGTTTTTTCATCTTTTTGGGCATGGTTATATGGCAGAATTTCCGTTTTCTCATGTGTGAAACGTGTGCAAGATGGGATTTTTCGAGGGTTTCTTCCCTTTTTTTGAGGATTTTTTGGGCATAGTTATATGGCAGAATTTCCGTTTTCTCATGTGTGAAACGTGTGCAAGATGGGATTTTTCGAGGGTTTCTTCCCTTTTTTTGAGGATTTTTTGGGCATAGTTATATGGCAGAATTTCCGTTTTCTCATGTGTGAAACGTGTGCAAGATGGGATTTTTCGAGGGTTTCTTCCCTTTTTTTGAGGATTTTTTGGGCATAGTTATATGGCAGAATTTCCGTTTTCTCATGTGTGAAACGTGTGCAAGATGGGATTTTTCGAGGGTTTCTTCCCTTTTTTTGAGGATTTTTTGGGCATAGTTATATGGCAGAATTTCCGTTTTCTCATGTGTGAAACGTGTGCAAGATGGGATTTTTCGAGGGTTTCTTCCCTTTTTTTGAGGATTTTTTGGGCATAGTTATATGGCAGAATTTCCGTTTTCTCATGTGTGAAACGTGTGCAAGATGGGATTTTTCGAGGGTTTCTTCCCTTTTTTTGAGGATTTTTTGGGCATAGTTATATGGCAGAATTTCCGTTTTCTCATGTGTGAAACGTGTGCAAGATGGGATTTTTCGAGGGTTTCTTCCCTTTTTTTGAGGATTTTTTGGGCATAGTTATATGGCAGAATTTCCGTTTTCTCATGTGTGAAACGTGTGCAAGATGGGATTTTTCGAGGGTTTCTTCCCTTTTTTTGAGGATTTTTTGGGCATAGTTATATGGCAGAATTTCCGTTTTCTCATGTGTGAAACGTGTGCAAGATGGGATTTTTCGAGGGTTTCTTCCCTTTTTTTGAGGATTTTTTGGGCATAGTTATATGGCAGAATTTCCGTTTTCTCATGTGTGAAACGTGTGCAAGATGGGATTTTTCGAGGGTTTCTTCCCTTTTTTTGAGGATTTTTTGGGCATAGTTATATGGCAGAATTTCCGTTTTCTCATGTGTGAAACGTGTGCAAGATGGGATTTTTCGAGGGTTTCTTCCCTTTTTTTGAGGATTTTTTGGGCATAGTTATATGGCAGAATTTCCGTTTTCTCATGTGTGAAACGTGTGCAAGATGGGATTTTTCGAGGGTTTCTTCCCTTTTTTTGAGGATTTTTTGGGCATAGTTATATGGCAGAATTTCCGTTTTCTCATGTGTGAAACGTGTGCAAGATGGGATTTTTCGAGGGTTTCTTCCCTTTTTTTGAGGATTTTTTGGGCATAGTTATATGGCAGAATTTCCGTTTTCTCATGTGTGAAACGTGTGCAAGATGGGATTTTTCGAGGGTTTCTTCCCTTTTTTTGAGGATTTTTTGGGCATAGTTATATGGCAGAATTTCCGTTTTCTCATGTGTGAAACGTGTGCAAGATGGGATTTTTCGAGGGTTTCTTCCC